GGGGGGGGGGGGGGGGGGGGATCAGGCAGAGCCTGTGCGGCGTGGCAGGACGCGTGAGGTGGATGGCTTTTCTTTTTTTTTGCCTTTTCCGCCTTCCCCGGCGGGTGCTCCGTGCGTGAGGCCCCGCGTGTCTGACTGTGCGTGCGTGTGCGGCTGGCCGGGGGCTGTGGCGATCGGCCAGTCGGCGAGGGTGCTCGGGGTGTTCGGGCTGAATGGCTGCGCCCGGCGGGTGGCCATCATCACCGAGCAGGAGGTGGCGATCTTCCATTGTTGGTGCGTGCGGCGGTGGGCGTGTGGTTTGGCGCGCATGCCGCATGTGCCCGGCCGGCTCTGACAGACTCCGCTCGGAATAGGAGCCCGGTGGCGCGGACGCCGCTGGCCGAGCTGCGGGTGCTGCGCGCGATTCAGGCCCACGACCAGGCTGTGCACTTGGAATTGCGCGGCCAGCAGAGGCTGGTTCTGGACATGGGGCTCCTGTGCGTGTATCGGTATCTGGGAAAGCGGATGGCGAAGGGGACTTGCGCGGGCCATGCGGCCGGCTCGGTCGGCCATGGGCTGCCCTGGTGGACGATGGCGTCCGTCATGAAAAGGCCCAGGGATCTTCGTCTGCGGGTGGACACCCGGCCGGACCATGGCCGGGAGGGGCGCCTGAGCTTGCATCTCAAGTTGCCGGAAGACATGGAGCTGAGGTGCAGCACGCCTCGAGTGGCCGGGTCGAGGGGCGCACCGGCCGCAGGGGCATGGCGCCCGGCCCCCGGGCGCCGTGGTCCTCCCCGGTGTGGGAGTCGTCGGGACTTGTGGCCTGACAGCCAGCGGCTGGTGCCCAAGCCGATCAGCAGTCTGTCGTTCCTGCAGATCGCCAAATCGATGGACACCCGCCGGTGGATCTTCGGCCGGAGGGCGTCGCGATTGGCACGGGCCCGCCGAGTGGCGGCCATGACGTGGGCCCTGCGCGGCGGGGCGCGGACCCGGCGCCGGGACTGCCTGCGTGCGATGGCCCGACGGGCGGCCTGCAAGCGGGAGGCCATCCGACGGACGGCCGCCCTCAGGGCGGCGGTCTTCCGGCGCCGGCTGCAGCCATTCCGCGTGCCCCGGACGGTGGACATCCGCTTCTCGTGCGCCGATGGCCGGCACTTCCTCGGGTTCGGGTGCGTGTAGCTGGGGCTGTTCTTTGGCCTCTCCGGTGCGGTGGGCCGCGGGCCATGGGCCATGGTCCATGGTCCATGGTTCCTGGGCGTGGGGGCGGACGGGGGGGGGGGGCGGTCCCTGGTGACAGGCCCGGGCTTCGTGGGCCGGCGTGCGAGTGTCCGGCCGGCGGGGGCCTGCCGCTCCTGGCGGCCGGGCGGGCGTGCATGCGCGCGCATTCCCCTGGCCTGCCGGCGCTAGCCTGCTCTGCCGCTTTCTTTTTGTCTCTCTCCCTCTCTCTCTCCCCCCCCCCGCGCTCCGTCTGCGTGTCTCAACTTGCTTCCTCGGCCGCTCCTCGTGCCCCTCGTTTGGCCTCCCCGTAGCTGACGCATGCACACACACACACACACACTCACACACACACATGCCGGGGCGCATGGCGACCCGGGACCGGGCCACGCACAGTGTGACCGTGCGGGGAGCGCGCCCGGTGGACGGGACCCTGCTGCTGGCGGCCGACGACGTGGTCGGTGCGCTGCTGGGGCTGCCGGTGACCGGGGCCCCGAGGAGCCTGCCGGGCGTGGTGCTCCGGCGCCCGGTGAGTAGCCTGCATGGGCAGCTGGGCTGCCGCAATGGCGTGCTGCCCTGGGAGTCGGAGGAGCTCCTGGCGCATGGCCAGCACATGGCCTTGCGGATGTGGGCGCAGAGGCTTCCCGATGGCGAGGGCGGCCGTGTGAGCCCGGCCGATGAGCTGGCGGGTTGGTCAGACGCCGGGGATCGGCCTCCGCCCGAGGCCGAGGCCGCCGTGTGAGGCATGGCCCCGGCGGCCTGGGGGTTGCCTGTGCGAAGGGCCAGCAGGGGCGCTGACAAGCGGCCACTGCCAGTGTGACGGCCGGGGCCCGGAGCACCGGGCGCGGCCGCGCATCGTCGCCGGCGCGCGGCGGGCCGTCATCCCGGGTGCGGGGGTCTTCTCGCCACTGGACGCGCACAATACAGGTGTGCCACGGGTTGTGCCGGGCCTCCACGCGAGCGGTGTCATCTTGCATGGGGCATTTCGGTGGCGTGTGTGTGTGTGTGTGTGTGTGTGCCGGTGGAGGGTGGCCCTGCCGCGAGGGCCGATGTGTGCTGCCTTCTGTCCCCCTGTCCAAGGGCCGGACA